AATTTTTAGAAATTGTTTCGTTTTTTACATATACTTTTAAAGAAATATATACATTATTGGAAAAATTGAAAGCACGTAACTTTACCAGTTCTATTCCATTAAATTCATACACTTACGTATCAGTCTTTACTTATAGAAGTTATTGTTACTTGAAATTGAAAACATCAACATTGATTTATAAGAAAACGAACAAGATCAAAATTACTTGAAAACTCTCAATCTCTCAGTGGAATTAACTTTTTCTTCTATCCATTCCTATATATATGTGTCTTATAATTCCTACACTTATTTCACTGTCTTTCCTGTGATGCTATATTCAGGCCAGATAAAATAAGAAAATTATTTTTCTTTAAAAACAATATTTTCCAAGAAAAATTTATTTTACTCTAGTTTTTTTTATCTCAAACAAAATTCTTTTATTTATGAGTAATCAGAAAATAGTGACAACGAACCATGTTAAATTCCAATTATTTACGATTTATTTCCATCGTTTTAAATCGTTGAAACTTTAAAAAAAAATTGTTGACTAATTTATACAAATTAAATTTGTAAATTTTAATTTCATATACTCTTGAAATCTGTGTTAGTAAAATAATTTAATTTAAATAATTTTTATAAAAAAAATGAAATGATTATATCAGAAAAGTACACATAGAAAAAATTTCTTTTATTGATTTTAAGAGTAATTTTTTATCTTAAAATAAGAATTTTTTTTTACCAGTAAGATGAGATAATGAATTTTTCAATTTTATTGAATTTTATTTCATTTCGCTATTGATTTTGTCTTATTTAAACATCGAGAAGAATTACTGTTTACTTTTTTTTTTGTTATTGGTGACTATAAAATTTGGAATGGATTTAATGTCTTAAAACTGGCAGATGGGGAAAGAGAGCTCAAATGGGTGTACGTGTTTTCGTCGTTGAAGCGACAAACCGAAATATATATATATATATATATATAGGAGTTCAGGAATCGATAGCCATAGTGTATCGGTCTCCCAAATCGATTTTGCAATCGTGGCAGAAACCGTAACGAACTTGTATCCCAGACTGTTTCCTGGGTAGGGGGCAATGGAGTATGGGGGGTAAAATAGCGCTGACGATCGACATCGTGGCCGCAACATTATTCTCCCGGTTTTCGATTTTTCTAAAAACTTCTACTAGGAAACTGAAAAGCGCACCGACTGCCATTGTATCGTTCTCAGCGTGCAAACTTCAATTAGGAGAAACAAAATTAATAGAGTACATGGTATTCATTTACGGAAAAGCTTCTGCAATTTCAATACGAAGAAAATAAACTACCACAACGTAAATTAATGTTCTGCGCACCTATTCTCGGTATACTTTTGCCATAATGAAAAAAAATGCCTATAATCCGTAAAATTATTGTTAATTATACTTCTGTGAAATTCAAATATAAAATACAAAAAAGCTTCAAGATATTTGTTCGCGGTATTTATTAAATTGACTTATAAAGAAAGGAGAGAAAAACTTCTAGGAGCGCAATATTATTTTGCAGATAACTTTGTTGTTTTGAAATATAATAATAATTCTCTTTCAATGCATTTAAAAGTTCTTGCTTTATATTATATTTGGATATGATCGAGTTTCAAACGCGAATGTTGAGGGAAAACTTTTCAAGTTTTCAGTTGCAAGTGAGACAATTCATACAAACCATAAAATATGTATAAATTAGTTAAAACCGTCTGTTACTCTCACAAGTTTCGCGCTTTACTTCCAAGTTGCAAACTCCGAATGCGCTTAAAACTTAAGTTTATAACTTCAAGTTATAAAATTTACAAAATTTATTGCTCTGTGTATATTTTAAATTTAAAAAGGCACCTTCTTGGTGAAATTTATTAATATCATTTTCTTTGTATTATTTCTTTTTTTATCATTGCAAACTGTTTATTTTATTTTTTTTATTGGAAATAATAGGTGAATTAAAAGGTGATACATTATTTGTATAGTTCGAGAGAGGAATAAGTATGAAATATATATCAATATTAAAGACGAGGATTGTAAAAGAGGAAAAATCTTTTGCAAATGAAAGCTCTCGAAACATAATTTTTTATATCTTGAAGCTTACGCATTAGACATCACGAAGTCGAAGTAACTGAGAGGGAAAAAAATTATTCTTCAGTTTGCAGTCAATTTCCTCAAGGAGATAGGAGAGTTGAAAGAGATCCGCAACATCGGTTACGTTAAAGGAGCTTGATTACTTGAGACAAGAAATTCAATATGATTGAAAGATGGAAAAGGATTCAATTATAGAAGACAAGATTTAAATTAACAAGACCTTATAAACTCGTCAGTTTTTTCTAAAAATTGAAAAATATTTTTTTCAAATAAATCTACTTATAATCATAATAAGATATATATGGCAAATTTTTATCGAATTATTAATTTACACCCAGAGGAATTTTGTATTTGAATCAAAATTAACAACTGTTTTAAATAAATATTTTAAAGTATATGCAAATATGATTGTCCAAAACATTTATGGAAAATGTTGCCATTTTTGAAAAAAAGGAAAATTTTAATTTCAAACATAATTACGTTATTGAACATGTAATGGAAGTTTATACTAGAAAATAATTATGTATATTCATGAGTTTGTATTTAGTATGCTGCAGCTTTGTTATAAATTCAGAAAGTAAACGTTCAAAGTGCAGGAAGCTATTCAAATTGCAACAACATCGTGACAAATTTAGATTTTGTTATGGTTAAAAGTTGCAAGAAATCGAAAATTTTCATAGTTCATTTCCGACATTCACAAAACATTTTAAAAAGTTTAAATAACAAATTATCTAATAAATATTGCAAAAATAAACTTTTAATTAATTTTATTATAATTATTAATTATTCAATTAAATTAATTATTGAATTAATTATTTATATTTTACGTTATAAATTTTTTTTCTTTTTTTTGTAAAATCTTTTTTGACTATTGACAAAAGTGCTGCAAAATTGCATACTGTATTTAAAGTCGAGTTATATTTTCAAGCTCTCGCCCATTGTATTTCACAAGATTGTCTCTTAATCCTGTCAGGTGTGTGAATTCAGATTATTAAAATGTGGAAATAGCACGAATTGCTATATATATATATATATATGCTAAGAACCGTATTCAATTCTCGCACAATGCAGAATGCGTTTAACTATTTCAGGGGGGCTTTCATTATACAACTATAATACCAGACGTAAAGTTAATTGTATTTCAAGCTTAAATGGATCCTTTAACGGATGTCAAATGCAAGCTATACTTTAATAAAATATTGATCTTCCTGATAGAAAGTTCCCATATAATCTTCCCTTATAATGCAACTACTATATGCTTCAGATGCAGTAATTTTAAGAGAGAAAAAGAAAGTAACATTCAATTATAGAAAACAATGAATTAATAAAATTAATTCATGAGCAAAACAAGCGAATAAAAAACAGAATTTTGAAAAAAAAATTAAAATTCATTTTTAAAAAATAATATTATTTCTATTATTATTCAAAATTTATAATACTTTTTTTTATAATTACACCGCGAAAAAAAGACAATGTTGCATATAAAAAGAAAATAAGTTTTGACAAAATTAGGTGATAACAGGTTGAAACTTATTTTGACCGATAAATACTAAAGGCATCATTAACCACGACTATTAAATCTCTGCAGCTGTGGGGCTCACAACTTCCGATAGTAGTTAACTTCTTCGTTCCTTATTCTCAAAAAGTTTTCTGCAAAGAGGACAAAGTGTTTGATCGAACTTACTTAATTTAGAGGACAAAACACAGTACTTGCGAGACACAAATATGTCTCAAAGTTTCTTTTCAAAACTTGTAAAAATATAGCATACATCTTTCTTTTTTTTCCTCCCCCCCTCCCCATTTTAATATAACTTTCGTGTATATACGTGTATTATAACAAAGTGAAAACTCCTGCACATGAAGTTACAAAACTTTAAAACTGCATCTAATGTGATGAAAAATGTGTTATTGGAATTTGTCAAATTCTTGTCCTGGATTGTTAAAATATTCTTTAATATAATTGTGGCAATCACTTAACAGAATTAATTAAAATTATTATAAATTTTTATTTGATAATTACTGGATTAATATTGTCTATTTTAATTAGGCATTAATAGTGATATTTAAATTAAGAATTAATAATTATTGTTCTAATTATTGAATTCTTATTTCTTCATATTGGATAATAAAGAAATAAGAGTAAAATTATTCGTTGACAGAAGAATTAATAAATTAAAGAAGTTAATTAATAAGCTTTATCTACTAAAAAGTTTGAATTTTTTATTTTAATTTAAAATTAATTTTATCAATCGAACAATAACGTACAAGAAACAAAAGTTACTTTTAATAAAGTTTGAAATATTTCAACAAAGCTTTAAAAGTTTCTTTTCAAACTTTCTACTTTTCTTCTAAAAAATACTTGAGTAAATTCCAATAATATATTTTTATACAACTTCTCCAATAAAATTTTTTTTGAAAATTATTTCAATTATTCTTACAAATTTTCGTCAAAGTTTCCGCTATTTGCACACCCTTGGAGTTTAAATCAACCCCTCATTAAGACCTCAAAAAAAACATTCTTTTTAACAATTTTTCGTTCTTGATAAAAGATTTATACATCTTTTGGATGTTTTCTATTTAAAAAAAGTGAATACCTAAATAATATTTTAAAAATAGGATAATATTCCTATAAGAATAAAATATTCTCAATGGAAAAAAATTGATTTAATTCAAATAATCAATTACTTGACTATTATCAAATAAATATTTATCTAATTATTATTTCGAAGGTATTTGTTTCAAATACAAAAATTATTGTAAAAATAAAATTTAAATAAAAATTATTTAGTTCAAGTAAATATTTATTTGATAAAAGTTAATTTATTTGAATCAAATATTTTTTTTTCAGTATAATATTCTTATTAAAATAAGAAGTAGTCTTAAAATCTAATTAAAAAAAAGTAACAGTAAATTTTATCCACCTGATTTTGTTTGTAAAAGCTCAGCTACTCCTTACACAATGTATCAAATATCCTGTCACACGAAACTGCAGTTCCACAAGAACGTTATTACCACAAAAGTTATAATTTTAGTTTAATTTCAATCACATCACCATTAGCAACACCAAAATTACATTTTGAGTTTCTCTCACAAAATCACAAAAATATTGCTTTTTCACTGATGTGCAATTCCTCCCAACGTGTGTGTGTATTTTCTTAAAGAATATATAAATATTGAAGAAAAATATTTTTGATTCAAGTCTAGAACATATTTTTTATTTCCTGACTATAAAAATGACATTCAATAAAATGTGTTCTTTAGAAATTTTTTCATTTCGATTTGTGAGATATTTATTTGTGTCTATGCAACATCCCTTTCACACAAAAGAGAGTGAGAGCTACGCGATTCTGAAACTGTCACGTGCACATACGTTGCTCATATGCCACCTCGAAAAACATGCACCCGGTGTATATGGTGTGACTGTCTGTTCGATAGGAGGGCGGATTACCGGAACTACTTCCGGTGTGTAGAGAGGGGGGAGGGGCGCCAGAACGTTGACTCTCGTTAAGTCACACGTTGTATGCTCGTTTTGAATAAAAAACGAAAAAAGAAAAAGGGAAAGAAGGAATGATGACAATTTTTAGAGTGTATATATAGAGGAGAGAGAAGCACACCACGCAGTCACTCTCCCATTGAAGAGTCGCCGGCGGACTGCGAGTAGGTATCGCGCGCAGACAGAAATTGTGGGGAGCGGCGCGACCGAGTGAGAGATGGGGGCGCAGTAAAGGGGGATAAAGAGAGAAAACCCATATATATAGACAAAGATGGAGAATGAAATTTTAACACAAGGGAGAGAAAGAGAGAGAGACAGATGTTTGATAGGGTGAGAGTGGAAGTTAGATAAAGATAGATGGGAAATAGAAAAGGAGGGATAGAGAGAGATCAAGGGGAGAAGAGAAGAAGAAGAAGGGAAGAAGAGTTCGAAATAGAGACAAAGGGGAGAGAAACTGTGTGCAGCATCCTTGTCTTTATTTCCTTTTCAGCTTTACTTCCGTTCTCTCGTTTTCCGCTTTTCTCATTTTCTTCCATTCGCTCCCTTCGTTCCTTCATTAAACTCTCTCTCTTTTTCTCTCTGGTCCCTTCGTTTTTTTTCCTTTTGCCCCCCATCCCATTCCTTAGCTTTTAATCTCTCCAACGTTTCTCTCTTTTCGTTCTTTTTGGGTTTGATTTCTTATTTGGTTCTGGATTTCCTTCTTAAGATTAATGTTTTTTTTAAAATTCTTTTATTTTACATTCTTCACTTTTTGCATTTCTTCTTTATTTTTCTTCTTCTTTGATTCTTTCCCTTCTCTCCAGAGAACTTTTTGTTCCTTTTTGAAAATTCTTTAAATTTAAATATTCTTTTCGTATTTTTTTCTCATTCTCCATCGTCAGCATTTTCTCCTTTCTTTCATCTTCTTCTATTCTTCTGAAATTTTTCGTATGTATTTTTTTTCTTTTTTTTTAATCATTTTCTGAAATTGTTGGTTATTTTTCTTTTACAATAAGAAATCAATTTTGTAAGTTAATACCAGTAAAGAACTAGATTTCTATGGAAAAAAAGAGTAAAGTAAAAAAGAACAGTGTGATTGGATTTTTTTTTTGAAAATTGAGAAAAAAGAACAGAAAAGAATATCACAAAAAGAGAAGAAAAAAAGTTTAAAACTGTTGGGTATTCATAAAAAAATATGATGAAAAAGAAGAAGAAGAAAATGATGAAAAACGAAATTGTTGAGAAGAATGGAAATTAGTAAATCTAGAGTGAAAATTCCTTTTTTTTCTTAAATATTTTTTTCTTTCTTCTAACATTTAAATTTTGTCTAACATTTCTCTTTTCCCTGCAAATTTTCTTTGTATTCTCCTTTTCTTATTCTTTTCCTTCTTCTACACAAAAACCAGATGGAAAAATTCTCTTCCTATTTTTTCGATTCTCTTTCTTTCTCTGTTTTCTTCCCAAAGGATGAAGCTTTATCTTTATCATTCTCACATATTGTTCAACCTCTTTTTATCCAATTTTTATCTTTTGTTATTTATTTTTTTTCTCTTTTCCAAACGGCCGTTCTTTAATATTGCAGATGCTATAAATCTTGGGAAATGCGCAAATTCCAGTGTATGGAAGTATAAAAATCGTGTTCTGGATTTCAAATGGCACTGAAATTTGTCACATGTATATTGATTGACAAGTAACTTAAAAAAAGACGATTGTGAAAACGTGAGATGAAAGAGAAAAATCGTAATAATCGAGATTAAACGGATTTTAAAAATATACTTTATAGATATTTTTTTAAAAAGTTTAACAAAGTTTCTATAGAAAGATTTTCCATGTATAATCTCAGGAAATTTTAAAAGAATTTTTTTTTAAATTTTGTACAATTCAGCAAAATTTTTGCATTGATCCTTATAAACTTTAAAAAGTGTCTTAAATTATCAAATTATGTTTTATTAACAAGTATTTCTCAAAAAGATTAAATTACGATTAAATTTTAGGATTTATCGATGATTGAACGAAAATATTAAACTTTCAATATAGAAACTATATTTGTACCTTCACTCTCTAAATGTGAATTATTAAAAATGTTTACTAATTTGAATTAGTGACTCACTTTTTACTTTTAAATTAGTGAAATTATTAGTAACTTTTACTAATAATTAGTAAAATTTAACTAATTCTAAAGCAAAAAGTGAGTCACTAATTTAAATTAGTAAATATTTTTACTAATACACATTTAGAGAGCACGTCAATTGATTTTGAAAGTTTTGTAATAAGTTTTAATTCAAGCCACTTATTTGTTTCCATTGACATTAAAATACATAAATTCTCTTTATATGTGTAGAAAATGAAGAATGTTATATTAAATTCCATATTAAATTCAGTTTCAACTTTCACATATTGTAATGTAATATATATAAAGTTATGAATTTATTTCCAATTATAGAATATGTTTTTAAAATTATTTGTGATTTTACTTTGCGAATAAAATTATTTTAAATGTTGAAATATAAACGATTTATATTCCACTTTATATAAATATTATTTGTTCTTATTTCTATTTTACATAATTGTACTAAATGGAACTTTGACTTTATTAATATATGAAATTTTATGAAAATTGTTTGTTCAAACCGAGGTAGTATGTCATTCAAAGAGGATTTTAATATAAAACTTTTATGAAAAAATTATTCTAAAATTATTTTTGAAACATATATGTAATTATAAATAATTATAAATAATTATAAAAATGCAATAAAAATTTATATAAAAATTAATAAAGTAAATTAATAAAAATATAAATTTTAATGGAATATTTATTTTGAGACTAATAAAAAATCTGTAATGTAAACTTCAAAATAATCTACATAGTTGCATATATTTTCTGAGTTTCGCATTGTTTCCGAGATATCATACCATGTTGGGTTATTATTTACGTCGAGCAGTGAATAACAATGAATAGCATCTATAAATCTAGGTGACAATCTGGTGCAAGGGTGCAGCATTAAAAACACCGATAATAAAAAAAAAACGAAAAAAATATGTCTGGAAGTAGGTGACTATGAACATTTTATTTGGATATTCATGTCGCACAAAACAGGTTGTTACCAGTATGTATATATATTCTAATACCAATATTATTCCTACATGAAATATCTCTCTAATCTATAAAGAATCCTTTGCATTCTTTCATTATTTTCCCTATTTACGAGAAACCATCGTGTATGTAAAATGGAAAATCTGAGTAATGAGTTATCATTTTATCGGCAAATAGTGCAAAAAAATGCATCTCATATTGCGTATGGGAAAAAATATTTGCCCTGAAAAAAAACGGGGACAATTCATTGTTCCCTGTGACGTATATCACAATTTTATAGTTTTTATATTGCTGTTATGTGAATGTGGTGAAATTATTTTCTTATAAGAGCATTTTTTTATGCATTACATTCAGTTTTAAAAATTTTTTCTCATTTTTGTGCAATTTATTATTAATTCAGATTGAAACAGAATGTCCCTAATATTAGAATTGAAATTAAGTTTAAGAAAAAAAGGAAGATATAATATTATAGAAATGTACCTGCTGTTAGGCAAGTAATTTTTTTTCCATCTTCAGTTCATTCGCCATAAGAGAAATAACTGAATTCGCGTCGCTGATTTAAATTCGATATTAAGCATTATCCACTGCCTTGCGCTATTATTGGATTTTCTCTAGAAAAAGAGATTCTGCAGTAAAACCTTTTGTTGGAAACGCGAAACGACTCTATATCCAGATGTTGTGCTTAGCAGCGGCATCATTACTTTTTAATATTACATCTTCAAGTACATTTATTGGGGAAATTTATATGAGAATCACCCACACTAAGTAAACAAGTGAAATCACTGTTTTTCAACAAATACAAAAAGAAAACTTAATTACAAAAACCTTTTTCTCTTTATTGAGAAAAAAGCACTTGCATGTATAATTAAATTACAATTGTTTTTAGATATTTAGAGGGAATTTTACGAAATTTTTTTTGTACAAAAGAACATTTTTAGAGAAAATTAATAGAATGAAATTTTTGTTTCATATTTATTTTTTATTTAAAAGATTAAGAAAATATGGTCTATTTAGAATGAAGACTCGTTATAAATGCAAAAGGCATAACGTTTTGTTTAAATAAAAGTTTTCAAATTATAGCCGAGTGCATGTAAAACAGATAAATATATATAGATATATTCAAGTTTGAATTTGCAGCTTTCGGCACATGGTTATAATAATATGAAACCCGTGTCGAACTCGGACATATATCTCCAACTACTCTTCTCAATTTCCTCTCTGCTTAGCCTGGGGCTTATCTATTCTACTTGATATAGTGCAACATCTGAATCTCTAACCCTTTACTATCACTTTTATATGATATTTATCAGTTCGCCTCCACCCCCTCCTAACTTACCATGAATATAAGTGGGCCAAACAATATTGCGTACGCCCAGATATATGAAAATTACGAGAGTACTCAGCATTTTATTACATAGTTTTGAATTTAAATTGACTAATCAAAACCAAACCAAAATATTTATCTCAAAAAAGTGAATTTATTTTCTTTTATTTTTCATTTTGCAATTAAGCGTCAATATTCATTGTCTATCAACTTTTTGTAACAAATAGAAAAAATAACGATGGAGGAAACTTAATTATTCTTTTTTTACTATTTTTTCACACTATTCAATAAAGTTAATTAATTTTTATTTTTTGATTGAAAACATAAAAACAATAACGGTTTTATGAATTTCATAAAAATATTGCAAAACTTTTTTTTTACATTTCAAACTTGACTGTTTATTTGATATTTATTATTAATAATAATAAATTTATTTTATTATAATTTTTTTAGTACAGTGTAAAAATGCGACAGTAAATTAAAATTTTTATTTCTATTTGATGGAATTTAAATATTTTTGATCTGGTTAAAATTCTTGAATAATTTTGCAATATTAATCGCACTGAAATGTAAATAATAAATAACTACTGCTTTTAATAAATATATTGCATAAACTTTATTTATTAATAATTTTGTAATATTAGCACGATTTCGCAATTAAATATTATTAATTTTGATGTTAATGTTTATTTATCGTCAAATTTAAAAAAAATATGATTAAGAGTTAAAAGAATTTTATTTTAAACCAGATGTACATAA